TGCCCCAAATCCACATAATTTATATACTACTACAACGACAACAGCATTGATTAAGCTCTTTTTGAATATTTTGGAAGGAAAAACATCAAAGTTTAGCCACAGGTTATGTATTTTTTAAGGAAAGTTACGAAAACAATGACGAAAAACAAATTATAAATAGACTACGATTACTAAACATTTCAAGTTATTTTTAACTTTTTTACAAACTATTAATATAATAAAAACAATTAAAACATTAATTGAATGAGTATAACACAGCTTTCACCGCTTCGATATGATGCACATGGACTGCCCAGTTTGATTCAATTAAAAGAGGAAAGTCATTCTAGTCTTGATTTGTTTTGAAGTTGTAACGTATAATACACGACACGTTTTTTGGTGTGTTTAATACGTTTTTAAATTATTAAACCACGTTTTTTATTGGTTATTGTCAAAACCATCCACAAAAACGATAACAAGTGAATATTTACTAACAAACCCCATAGTTAATAAATAAAATTATTACAAAACAAAATTATAATTTATGTTCAGAACAGTTGAAAAATAAAACGTGAACAATTGATCTCCAATAGAGATTCTATACTTTTTTCAAAAAAATGAGAAATGAAATTTATTAATGTACGAAAGTCTATGATGAGAAGACGATAAACGGAAGAAAAGAAAAAAGAATAAAAACAATGAAAAAAATGGCTGAAGAAGAGCTTAGAAAATAATGAGCCGACATTGAGCAGATGAAGACGAGAAGATAACGATTAGAAAAATTGTAAAAATATTATTGGTCCCTTTTATTTTTGTCAAGACATTTTTCTTGAAAAATTCTTTTTTTGGTTTTCAGGACATAGTCCTGTCGTTTCAGTGTTTTAAAGTAAAAAAGAAAAGAAACCGTTTTATTTATATAAATGAGGTTATTTTTATCCTGATTTATTTTATCATGTAACACTAATAAATATCTGTTTTTTACATAGAAAAGCCCATAAAAATTATAAATATGAAGTATTTTTTTCAAAGTTAATTGATTATCATTATTGATTAGTTAAATTATCCCGTTTTTTGGCTTTTATTTTAACATTTTTAATTTTCTGATTGTTTTTTTTAGGCAAAATGGAAAAAAGAAAAATATTATAAAGTTAAAGAAACCTTAAAAGTATTGTTAGTTTTTATTAATGTAATTTTTTACAGACCAAAAAATGGGGAACCTTGCTTAGAAAAATAAAAAATATTGGTAAGTTGCGTAATTTGTATCCCTGTGAATCCAAATTATATACAAACCATTTTCTTGGTTCTCGCTTTCACAAACATCAATGTTAATGAATGTGCCATTAGAACCGTTCTAATTAAGTTTACCATCATCATTAAATGTTTTATAATTCATTTTTTTCTTTATTATGGGTTTTTTCCATTTGTTTTTATTATTAATATTAGTTACTAAACTATATTATATTACTTCATAATATAACCATTTAGTTATAGTATTTGTATTAAACCCAATATTATTATAACATTTAATAAAAAATAATTATTAATATAATAAATGATAAGAGATTATTCTAAAAAAATTTATAAATATTAAAACCATATTTAATTATTTCTTTGTAACTTTTGTAAAAGAATCACCACAACATCTGCGGTTGGTCAGTCTTCGGGTTTCTGTGTCCACATTTCTGAAATAACATTATAAGCTTCTGGACTAATTCCTTCTCTGATTGAAAGCCGTTTACCAGAAGCTACAAAATTGGAGATGCTCCATGGAATTTTAAACTCATCGGCAGTATACGCCTCTCACCATATCAAAGTCTCAAACAACGTCACAGCCAACGAGTAGACATCAGCTGGCTTCTTATAATGTTGTTTATTCAAGATTTCTTGTGCCATGTATTTTGGTGTTCCGATACCCTTTGTGAAAGTCATGTTAGTTGTGAGTAAATTGATGTTTCTACTACTTCCAAAATCAGTCAACTTTCCATTGACATTCATTCCATTTTCCAAGGAAATGACGAGTATGTTGTCTGGTTTAATGTCTCTTTGTAAAATGCCATTCTCATGTAAATACAAAATTCCTTTGGAAGCATCTATTATGATTTTAATTTTAATTTTCGAACCAATTTCATCCCTCTTTTTGTGTTTTATCAAGTCTTGTAAACTTCCATACAAAGCAAATTCGGTGACCATGCATATGTGGTTTGGAATAAAACAAGCGCCATAGAAGTGGATGATATACTCACTTCTAAACTTGTCCAACATATTCACTTCATTTTCGAAATCATTCAGAAGTTGACTCATCTTTTGTATGTGTTTCATCTTTTTTATTGTAACTTCTTTTCCTCTGAATGTGCCTTTGTATACCATTCCAAAAGACCCTTCGCAAATTAGCTTTATTTCGTCGAGTTCTTTGTAATTCAATTTTGTTGATTGGACTGTTGTTGTTTCAATTGTCATTTTCTCTGTTGTCTGTTCACCACTCATATAATCCAAAGAAGTGACAACTTCGATTCGTCTATTTTACATGAGCACAGGGACTTGATGAATATCTCAAACTCACACGCTTCTCCTTTCTTTAATATCACTATTGAAGGCACTGTTCGTATTTCATAACAATCACACCCTTCTATAACACTAAATTGCACTTTTAAATGGTGTTTGGTGAGGTTTCCAATACATATCAAGTCGCGCGATTCTTCATCGACTGGAATAAGAGCGTCTGAATCTATGTCAAATTTTAATACATTTTTATTGGAACACAACACTTTGTTGAGTGGATTCATTGTTATTTTCGATTTCTTAATATCAAAAAACACGTACATTTTGCATCTTCTTTTTCACTTGGCGTTTGTTGAGTAAAATGAAGATTACCAAAAGTATTAAAACAGTAATTGGGATGCCAATCACAACACCAAGATTGACCAACTTTGTGCAACTGTCACCGGAGTCTGTGGGTTCTCGTCGACCCTCACACTTCACACACCTCGAATTTAGAGCTGACACACAGAATTTAACTTTTGTGAAATGAAGGCATTGCGTGTCAACCAACATATTTTCCAATTCGTTACATATTGTACACACACTTTCACTCTCACATGATGTGCAATTTGGAGAACATTCATAACACTTGTGATTTGATAAGAAACGAATAGACACACACCTCTCACATCCAGACGATGATGACAGTTCACAGTTAGCGAGTGTTGTATTTGATTCACACAATTTGCATTCACCTGGGATGTTGAAATAGCCGTCTTTGCGTGCAAGACACTCGTAACTGTTCACACATGGTGCACACGACTCTTCACATGATGTACAGCTGATACCCTCTCGATAATACCCACTGTTACAGATCGCACATACGCTTCCACCAGGCAGTGCAATGTGACAACTCTCTTGTAATGCACCAAGTGATTTACAGTTTCCTAATTTGTCAAGATAAAACCCGGATTTACAAGAAGTGCAATAAGTTGTGTTGTAACAAGTTGAACAGTCGTTTTCACATTGAATACACTCGTTGTTGATGTTGTAATACCCATCAGCGCAGTGTTGGCATTTTTTGTTGTTTCTTATTTGACAAAAAGTTTCCGTTGCTGTTTTTGTGTCTGTTTTGAATTTGTTGTCTTCATCAAATGTGTCAGCACAAATTCCATTTTTCAATTTGAATGCATCAAGACACTCTACACATTTGGTGTTCTTTAAACTGTATCTCTTGCAAATTGTGACTGTTGTAGATTCTATTGGAACACAGTAATCATACTTGTCTTCTACATTCTTTGCGTCTGTCTGGTAATACTCCTCACAATAAACAACACATCCACCTGAACTAAATGTTTTGCATGTTGATATCTCACTCTTTGATACACACCAAGTGTCAGTGTATTTCACAAAGCTATCCAAACACTTTAGACAGGTACTTATGTCACAGAGACCACAGTTGGTGGTTTGACATATATCACCTTCCCTGTGATATGTAATTTAAATCAGATGTGCATTTGGTGCAAAAGCCATATTTTTTTGTTTGGCAATTATCATCTGTAACACATTGGTTTGTAGTCGTGTCAAATATAGAATTGGTTTGACACTGTAATGGTATTATTTTTATTTTTGATCATTGGCAAACCGATATAGAAACACCACAGCCGACACATTCGTTTGAGATGTTGAGATACGCACTATCTCCGCACTTGTAAACAATATCATTTCTGACTTCCAAATTTTGTTGTGCACGTTGACAATCATTTTCATTCAAAGTGAAGTTGTCGTTGCAATTAATACAAACAGAATTTCTCTTTTCAACTTTCTGGTGTTTGCAATTTGTCAAATTGTCTTTACAATCGGAGTTGACTGAAATCTGATCATAACAGTCACACGAAGACATTGTGGTGTTGGACGGACTTTGACATCGAGTTGTTTGTTGGCAAACCCCATTCGCCAAAAAGTAGTTGTTGTTACAAAGAAGACAAGTTGACTCGTCGACTTGAATTTGACAGTTCACATCATTACTTTGGCAGCTCTTTGAATTTGGATTGTAATACTTCCCACTTAGACACAACTGACCCTTCCCACTATTCAATACATGGTTGGCCATACAAGAGGTGCGATTGGAAACACCCACAGAAAGTGTTGAACACGCATCACAGTTCTCAGTTGCAAAATAACAACTTTCACATGTTGTCTCGGTCTTCTTGTAAGTCCCAACTTCACAATTTAAACAAAGCCCATTTGAAGCTACATACTGTGGGTCTTTGCACGCCAGGCACTTCTTTGTTGATTGGCTGCAACTCGTATAATTTGTGTTGATTGTGCTACATTGAACACGTTGGCCGTTTTCGTCTGGGTAATATACCGTGTTACACATCACACACTTTCTTTCGAATGCAGATGAACATTTTGCGCAGTGTGCATCATATAATACCTTTTTTGTTTTATATGAATTTTATTAATAAAAAGTGAACAAATTCTATTTATTTTTTTCACTTTCCAATTAATCTCCTAATCGGAAAGTGATTAGGAGATAGATGAGCCAAAAGTGCCAAATATTATGATTATTTGTAAACATTCTAATTTTAAATTGACTGAAAAAATAATATTAGAGTCATTCTCTAAAAGATGTTTTTTCCTTAAAGTTGTCCCTCGGTTTTTAGATATTAATAACTGGAATATATCGGGTATTTTTTCGAAACGCCAGAAAATCATTGTTTTAGTTTTTTTACCGTTTTTATGATTTATTACCTATTTCCCATTTTTTAAAGAATTTTTTGTGTATTTTTTTGCAAAAGGGACAACGTTTAGAGAATGACTCTAATTAAATATTTAATTGAATACAATTTAATATAAATATTAATAAAAAACAAATTAATGTCACCAAAATGGGTTATAACCCATGTTGTAATTTCCAAAGGGAGATCTTTCTTGTCTTCTATATTTCTTAGGAAGAGTGACGGTGAGGATATCTTCGTCATAATTCATTGTAATTCCCTGTACATCGACATATTCTGGGATTTCATATATCTGGCTAAACATACCAAACCTTCCTTTACAATATTTCGAGACCATTTCAACCATTTCATCGTCTTCAATTTCTCCATATCTTTGTTTAACTGACCTTACCATTAATGACATCTCTTGCTCATTTGGTTCTTTGACTCCACTGATCTTTAAATACCCGCTTTTGGTGATTTCGACGTTAATATCATCTTCATTCAACCCACTGATATTCCCAACAACAACAATGTTGTTCCCACGTTCCTGTACTCCAAATTTGACAGGCAGTTTCATTGCTTTCCAGTCGATACTATTTCTAATGATCTCTCCATAATTCTTCTTCTCTTTCATCGTCTCATGCTCTTCATCTTCTTGTTCGTTATATGTTCTCTTTGGCTTCACATACCGCTGGTTCTGTTTTTGACGCTCCTCAAGTTCTTTGCGTTTCTTCTCCTTCCTTTCCTCAATGACACGTTGTCTCTCGGCTTCCTCACGTTTCCGCGCTTCTTCTTCTTTTTGTCTCGCAAGAAGTTCTTGGTTCCGCTCATCTTCACTCTTCTCCTCTTCCATCTTTCTCGCTTCTTCTTCTTTCATTGCTTTCTCTTTTGCAAGGCGTTCCTGTTCAATGGCTTCTTTAACTTTTCTCTCGTCGTCAAGCTTCTTGTCGACTTTCAGTTTTGTGACACGAAGGCGCTTGATCTTCTTCTCCACTTCGTCCAGCTTGTCTTGGATGTTAATAATGAGGTCTTTCCTCTTCGATTTGTTCTCGTCGTTAAGTCCAAGATATGAGTCCAAATCGAGTAATACCTTCATTGAGAGCTCATTAATTTCAATGCCCCCTCGAATCATATTTTCTACTTCTTTTGATGGCGATTTGGCTTTCATAAAGTATTCCACGTCCTCCCCATGTTCGTCAAATTGGGTTTCAAAGACTTTAAGCTTCCTATCGATCTTGTCCAAATCAACGCCAAGAGTTTTAAGTCTTTCAGTGAATTTCACATTCACATCAACTTCTGGTACCTTTGAATTGTCTTCCGAGTTTGCAATGGGAATGTTCTCTGCTTCGGACTGTGAAGGGGAAGAGCCAGACTTCTCCTCTTCCATTTTAATAGTCTCGTTGATGCATCCAAATGTTGCTGCGTACAGAGACCGTGCTATTTCTCCGATCTTTGAAAGGGTCTGGAGACTCAAGTGTTTGTTCTCTGAGCAACTCAGTATCTCTGTGACGTCTTTAAGAAAGTCCATCGTGTCCATTGGAGTCTTTGCGATCTCTTTCTTGAGTAAGACTAAATTGACTTTCGACGGGTCGTCAAAAGTCGCGAGGATCAAATTTGTTATATCTTCCTCTGTTTGCGTCGATAAAGCTTTCTCTATGTAATTTTCTTCGGGTATTGCGATCTTCTCGTTTTTGTGTGCGAGAGAAATGTAATGTGCTATTTTACCAAGTAAAACAATTTTATTATCATCCAACTCTCCATGATAATTTTTCAAAAGCTCAATGGCTATTGCTGCACGTGTTGTTGTCATTCTGTGATTCGGAGATGATGTCTCTTTTAGTTGTGAGATTGACGTGTTCTGACACGTGGAAAGGGCGTGTGGACAGTTCTTGAGTTTTGGACTTTCTCTATTTTTATGTTTTTTTTTCATTTATGGTGTTATAACATGTCTTTAATTAATTAATATTAATGTTAAATATAATAATTTATTTATTATTATGAAGAATTAAGACGTGTCAACGCGTCAATCATATTTATAGTTTTTTTAACATCATTTTGTTTAAATAAAAAATATTGAAGTTTTTTAATTATTAAATTTTAATAAATTAAAACCAATTTTGGTATTACAAATGTTTTGTTTTGAAAAAAAAAGGGTTTTTTGTTAAAAGAAAACTTGTTTTTTTCTTTTTATAACTTCAATGGAAGAACAAAACGATAAAGAAAGACAACTCACAATGGATGAGATTGTGACTGCAATGTATAACGACGCGTGTTATCTTGATGATAGACAACTCGGAAGTTTGTTTATAAACCATCTTAATGATAAATAATAATATTAAATCAATTAATAATTTACTAAATTAAAACAATTAAAACAATACTATTTCAAATTAAAAAGAAGAAGAAAAGGGAGAATTGATGAGTGTATGTGATCAAATTGAACACGCCATTTCTTCACAGGCAAAAATCCCACAAGAAAAAAGTCATGGAGACAAACTGTCACAAGCAGAAGCCGAGTTACGACGTTTAAAAACTCAATTTGAAAACACACAAACAAATTACACAAAAACGAAACTTGCATATGATCGTCTCCAATCAGAAATTAATATCTACAAAGTAACAGACACACAAAAATCATCCGAAGTTTCAAACATACGCAAATTAAAAATTGAGAATAATTTACTCAAAGAAGAGCAACGAAGTTTATATGAAGAACAAGTGAGGTATTTATATTCGCACACAAAATAAAGAGTATATTCATTTAGTAAAGGATTGAACAACTCGACTTATTAATTCAATAATTTATTCCATTCAATTAACTAACAATTAATAATTAATAACTAATAATTAATAATTAATAACTAATAACTAATAACTAATAACTAATAACTAATAACTAATAACTAATAACTAATAACTAATAATAATTTTGATATTACTACACTTTAGTGTTTTCTAAGAAGAACACAACATCCTTCATCTCGGGGCGATTTTGTGGCACTGGATCCCAACACACTGTAATTATTGCATTAAAGAATAACATATTTTCCCCAAGAGTTGGGCGATACCCTTCAATTACTTTGTTTCTTACATCAGTGAAGAAGGTGAACTCTTTGAAAGGGATATCATTATTCTTTAATTCCCACAAGAGAAGACCAAAAGAATACACATCACTTTTCTGTGTAAACTTTTGGCCTAATAAGACTTCAGGAGCTAACCATGTTGGACAATGAATATCACACTCTTCTTCGCCATCGACAGATACTGTTTGTCCGAAGTCTGAAATAGCACAGCGGACGTATTTGCCATTATTCAGTTCGACTAAGATATTTGGACTTTTTAAGTCGCGATGGATCAACCCTGAATTGTGGAGCGCTAATACCCCACGCGCACTGTCTTTTGCTATTTCCACGCGCTCTTTTGTAGTGAGTGGATACTTTTTGTAGACGTCATATAAACTCCCACTTTCGAAATATTCCATTGTGACAAACAATGGATCGATCGAGTAATTATACATCGCCGCAACGTTAATATTCTGTTGCAATTTCATCACCATTATCTCGCGAATATATTCTTCAACCCCACTGATATACTCATTCAACTCACACCCATCCCACGTCACCAATCGCTTCATTACAACTTTTCGATATGTCGGCGCTCCCTCTTTTTTCACGGAAATCACGGACTTCGACCCTTCGCACAACTTTTTCACGTCGGTGTAGTTATTCATTCCATTCACTTTGAATTGAGTCGGCATTTCGGCGATTATAGACATTAAATCACTTTGAACAATGTTAAGAAGATGTTTCCCTTTCTCGCATTTAATCCGATACTTCATCGAGTGCACACAACTCACGATCTTCTCTTTCGACACTTTGACAACCTCCCCTTGACTCAAACACTCACTACACATCACATACTCTTTGGTCACTTTCCCTCGTTTTTTGAAATCAGTCGTGATGTCAAATAACATCTCCCAAATGCGTACTAACACACTCTCGTTCACTATAAGTCCTCTGACACGAATCTCAAGGGTATGCGGGGAAAAGGAAAGCATCACATAGATTTTACCGGCATCTTCAACACTTACTATACACCCACTCTCCCACCAATAATACCCCTTGTGGTGTACCATCATCTCTATCATGATCCGTCGCATCTCATCCGGAGAAAACTCAACTTCTAAACACTCACCAATTTCTATCTCGTTCCTTAAATGCCGAACTGACCACTTGGTGCCATCTACTCGCTTGTTTTGAATGGTATTCCCATACATGAAAAGAGTCTTGTTCTCGACTATTTCGTCGATACTGTAATTGCTTACTATACTTCCACTCGTCTTACTCGATGACGTAGTTCGTGTGATCGACACGCTATTTCTGTTGATGATTCCGAAAAATTGCGATGAAGCTTCTTTATATGTTTTATTGAAGTCGACACTCTTCACATTGAATTTCGCCGACTCACTCTTGATGACTTCGATGATGTCGAGTTTCTCCATTAATTCTATAACAAAGGAAATGTCACTTTTGTGGACTCCAATGACACTGAGCACCCCCACTAAGAGAAACGGACTCTTCTCACTTTGTTTCTTGATTTCCTTCGTTGCGCGAGTAAATAATTCGTCATCAACTAAACTGATTTCCTTGCCTTCTGTCGTCTGAAGGTACCCAATTCGACTTAACGTCTTGATTGCCTTCTGTTTGTCTTTAATTTTGATGGTATCCATGATGGTATATAACTCGTCATTTGTTATACAAAACCCTCGCATCTTCGTTAAGGACAACTCGAAGAACAAAGTTCTCGCGTCTTCATCTAGACACTCCCCCTTCTTCACAAAGAGTTCGTAGACCTTCTTTTGAATCGAAGTGTTCTCTAATTTCTTCTTTTTGCGAACTATAATGTGGCGCTCGGTTGAACCATCTTTCTCTATCTGCGCACTCTTCGCCGTCGAATCAACAACAAATGAAAATGCGCACCCAAGTTGTCCTTGTAAGATTAAGAGGATCTTGAAGTCATAGAAATTGATTATTTCAGAGTCTTGGCAATAAACTAGATACGACCTTTTGTACTTCCATATCTCCTTGGTCATATCAGTGATTTCAAGCTTCATAAACGATACATTGCGCTTGTCAGCGCCGTTTCCTATCTCAACACAAAATCGGTCTTTCCCAGACGAAGTGACTTCATTTGCCTCAGTGTATTTGTTCTGGACAAATGTGAAGATCTCGTCTTTGGATGGGTTCCCACAGACTATGACTCTATCATAGTAATAAAGCTTCTTCTGCTTCTTCAATTCTTCTTTGACTAAATTTCGCTTGGTATTTGAATAATTTTCTGATATGATTGTGAGGTCCGTCATCGTCTGAAACATCGCGTTAACCCCGATATTTGCGTTTCCAGTCAAGTCGAGGCATCTCAGCTGTTTCATTGCAAACAGAGAAAAGTTGATTCTATTAATATAGTTATTTGATAGGTCCAATTTAGTTATTCCAAGTTGTGTGATATTTTCAGGGATTGTGTGTATTCGCTGGTTTTTTAAATACAATTCGCAGAGGGATGGAGGGGGGTTCTCGACTATTTCCGATATGTTGAATGTTGAACCCGAGAAGTCCAAAACTCTGAGATTTGGAAGTGTAGACAAGACTGTCGGGTAGAATGTCGTTTCGCGTGCATAAAACGTCTCCAATTGATTGTTGACATCAAGTTCCATTTTCTTGTTGAAATCGTTTCCCGAGAGGTCGAGGACTTTGAGAGGATTGTGATTGAAGTCCGGGAGAAACTTTAAATTGTTGTTTGCCAAATTGAGTGCGGACAAATTAGTCAATTGTGATATTTGGTCGGTGACAAAGACGATGTCGTTGTTTTGCAATTTGATATTGACCAAATTCGAAAAGAAAATAAGTGCTCTCGGGAACTCTCTGAGTCGATTTTCGCTCAGATCAATATTCGAGATACTTGTGAATTGTTTGATTTGTATTGGGAATGGTGGGAATTGATATAAAGAAAGTCCATCGTTCTTCGTAGTGATTGTATTTGACAAGAAGACGTCGGAGACCTTTTTGCTGTAATTCAAGAATTTAGAGAAGAGCAAATTGAAGTGTTCTTCTGGTAAAATGACATTCAAAGTCTTTTCAGTTCTTTCGTACAATTCGTTTGTATACATCTTCTTTTTTGTTATAATTTCGTAAATAAGAGACGGACATTCATAGTCCCCAGTTAACTCCTCATAGCGATTTTCTGTTAAAGCGGAGAACAAGAAAGCGATTAAAGTGTCTGTGAACTCGAAATTAACAAAATGTTGTTGAAGAAGCAGATCAACACAATTGAGGAATCCGTTGAGTAACACGTCAAACTTTTTCACAAAGAATTCCTCTTGAAAAAACTCTCTGTGAAGTAACTCGCAGAACCCTTCAATAGTCCGGACATAAGAATTTGTCATCATTTTTATCACAGAAAAGATGAAGTTGACGTGACTTCTCTCTCCAGAGAGAGTGACATTCAAATCGTCGTCCAACTTTTTCATCGTCACATTACAGAAATTAAACACTCCTCTTAATGCGTCGCAGTATTTATTATTCGACGTGAAGAACGACCCAACGTTTTGTTTCGTTTGAAAGTTAATCAGTGGGACGATTTTCTGAATTTCTTTAAATGCACTGTCCAACTCACTTTCATCAACAAAAACTTTCATCCCGCCACTCTCGCGAATGATTCTATTGCCATTAGTAATTTCGTTCCAATTGTCGTTACTCGTTTCTTTAATGATTTGTTTGATTTTGAAAATTGCGTGTGGGATGGGGTGCTTCAATTGCAATTGAACAATGACATTCTTGAACTTGCCAATTTGCTTCAGAGAAGTTCGAAACGTCACAACGCGGATATCTTTACTGATTAATCGAACAAACAAATACCCATTCTTCTCTTCTTCTATGACACTTTGGATTTGTGCGATCCATATATTCCCTATGTATTCTATCACAACAGCTTCCTGTTTACTCGGTAATGTGTCTGGAGAGAAGATCACTCGATGCGTTGTGATGTACACCATCCCACTCGTGCAATCGCCGCTCTCGCAAAACTCGTCGATTGAAAACCCAAAGCGGGGACAGAACACAAAATCAATCTTTTCAACAACGCGCTCGTTTTTGTATTGCTGACTACACTCAAAATAAAAGTCCGAGTCCTACTATTAAGTTTCTGATTTGCTTCAACACTTTGAATTCAACAACAAACAATTTGCTGGAACATCAACTCGACGATGGGAATGTACTCGGCTTTGAAATCGTTTGATTGTAACATGGCATTGAAGTAAGACAAATAACAGTCACACTTCTCCTCAACGGAAGTGAAATTTGTTGAAATTTCTATTAAGAAAAGGGAGACCTCTCGTAAAATCTCAAAATTGTGTTTAGTCCCTGTGTTGATCAAATTCTCCAAATTCTCAATGACATACATCTTGACATTTTCTTTTTGTTGTTTTGCAAGCATCTCCACCCCTTTTTGAAACACATTTAACACTGCATTTGGGAGAATAGGGTTCCGTGAAAAGAGTAGAATGTACTTTAAATACGCAAATTCAGTTTGTTCGTCGAGTTTCTCATCGATGATTTCATTGTTTTCGTTGTCGCACTCAGTGAAAAGTCGTTGGATTTGGATGAACGATTTGTTATTCATTTTGTTTCTGTTAAGGTTGTCTGTCTGTTAGTAATAGTTTTGAATGGAATTATTAATTAAATGGAGTAATTATATCATACCAAAAAATATAATAAATATAATAAACAAACGGAAAAATTTTCGATGGGAGAATTGAGCGGCGAGTTTGTTCAATTTTTCAGCGTCGAGTGAGGAATACCCATACACCTTTTCTATTTTTCTAATTGACATGTTTTCAAATGATGAAAGTTTTGCGTTTGGATCTTTAAGAAGGACTCCACAATCATATTCCTTCACTAATTTGTCTTCGAAAAAGGTCGATTTTCGTAATTTCTTTCGAAGGAAAGCTAAGATGTTATTCAAACTCTTTGGAATACCACTAAATGTGATCTCATCCTTGACACAAAATTTGTCGTCTTGGATTTTTGGAGTTTCTTGAGTTGAAGCCAATCCATTCTCGGAGTGAACCGACTTTGTGAAGAAGCTTGAACTCTTCCGGACAAGATGTTCCAAACATGTTGACGACTGAAAAGATTGAGAAAGGTCGGACATCTACGGTTTTTAAGTTCGTTGACTTTCTTTAGTTGAGTGTTTACTTCTTTTAAAAAATAATTCAAATTTCCTGTTTATTTGGGGTGGATTATGAGTGTTCTATTTATTAACTCGGGCTTTTGTAAAGAAAAACAAACAACTAAAAGTTTGGTGTTCTTTGTATTTATAAAAGTTTTTTTTAATTATTTAATGTTTGGATTAAATTCAAAATTAATTTAACCATCGTTCATAAAAATGAGCGAAAATATCAAATTAAAAGTATAATTTGCAATTCTATTGTTTTATTAGATATCTTTATCGTTTCAAACCAATTCCATTGTAATGTATTTCTGGAATTGTAAATTTATGTTGGAACTAAAAGTTATTATAAATAAACCATTTAAAATAATTAATTAAAAAAATATCGGGTATATATTTAACAATATGTTAATTATATTTTTATACTATTTTATAGTTCAAAACATTAAAAAGAGTAATTCAATATAAATTGAAAAAAATTATGGTGTATCTTGAAATATTAGTTTTAATAAAAATAATTATTAATTATACATGATTTGTTAAGTAATATATTCTATAAGTTTTAATTGTTGTTCGAGTTTGTTATATCGATAGTAATTGTAACAATAATACAATAATATAGGAGTAATTAATTTATTTTTATATATTAAAGCTATTTTTTAGGGATTTTTTATTATTCATTATTTTTTTAATTAATTTATTTAAAAATAATAATATTATTAAAAACAAACTCATTTTATTATAATATATTTATAGTAAATCTAAAACACATTTCAGTTTCATTACAACATCAGTTTTTAACATAATCACACACTTGTTTTATCTATCGAAAAAGTAATAAATGAAATGAAGAAATGACATTGTGTTCAAATCGAGAGTTGTTTTTTAAGTTTAAAAGATAAATATACTAATTAAATGTGTCAAATCACACAATAGTCTAAAAACGTCCACTGTCCAATGTTGTCTGTGCATTTTTGGACCTGGGATATTAAAACTGTAATATTAAAAAACACTTCAACAACACTGTTTAATAATTGTTCAAGTTTTCAACCTTTTAATTCAAATCCCATTTTCTGTATTTTTTTGTCAAATTATAATCAAAAAATCTAACATTACTAGTCCAAAAAAGGAATAACTACAGTAAAAATTCTATCGGTGTGTGATTCCATCCATGTGTGACTCTATCGGTGTGTGGTTTTGACCAATCAAAAGAGGCCTACACACCTATTTTGATTTTCTATAATATTGATAGAATATAATGATTTCCCACATATTTGGCACCAAAACCCGCAAAAATAATTTCAATTGCAATTTTGTTTTTATTTTAAAAGAGTAAAGACTTGGTAATAAAAACTTAAAAAGAGAAAAATTATCAAACAGAAATAAATTCAAAAAAGATAAGAGAAGAAAAGCATAAAATGCTCTTCAAAAAATATTAAACTTTAAATGATAATAAAAAATGCACCGACTTCCACACACCAATCACAAGAGCACGCTTGTGATTGGTGTGATGACAGAATTGATACCACAAAAACTTAACAATTTCAGCAAGGAAGTCACAGATATTTTCGACACATGCAGACAATAAGCCTGGCGTGCTCATCCAAGTCTTTGAGGGCGAGGCATCGATGACATCACATTGCAACCCGTTTGACAAGGTTGGGTTGTTTGGTATCTTATTAGCACCACATGG